AGTCACTTCATTTGCATAGTGTATTGACCAATCCCTGCAAGGTGCATACCAATCACAGGGCTTTAGCCCAGGGCCAGGCAAGAAGTATCAAACCACAGGTTATTTCGTAGCTTACCCAGGAAATGTCAATCAACCTGGACAAAAGTAACAAACCCTCCAGGGTAGAAAACTAGGGCAAAGGTGACTCCTCAGGGAAAATCTCTCAAGCAGTTTTTCAAAAGAACCAAGGCAAAAGGCCACATAAAGGAACTCATTTCACCGCAAACGGTGAAACAATAAATTCCTCTTCTTTAAAAGCCAGCCGCTGTGATAGTTTTCTTAAGGCAGCGTTGGGGAACTAAGACAGTCTCCCATGGGGCCCTGGCACCACTGGGCAGCAAGACCCAGAGCCTCCCTGCCCAGCTCTGCCTCCAGGTTGTATGGAAACTGGGTCCATCTCCTCGCTCCCAACTTCCTCTTTCCTGATCTGTGACACAGGCAGGGGTCCCCCTGACTCCTCTGGCACCCACGGCCACACCCAGGCAGTGTGACATTGCAGCCTGGTCCTGCCAGCTCCCAGGGCCTTGGCGATGGCACCATGGTGCCAGAGGGAGGGAGGAGCTGGAGCCTGGGAAGATAGGTGCTATGTGAGGACATATTAGCCATGGCCCTACATCTCCAGGCAGCCAGCTGTCCTAAGTTAGGGCATGTCTCAGCCTGTCTCAGCACCTGTTTGTAGCTCAAACACCTCCTCGCTGGGGTCCACCACCCTGAGGGGCACCTAGTCTTCTCTGCCTTCCTGGTGAGCAGATGCCCTGGTGCAGTTCGGCCTCCCTCCAGAAGGTTGTGCATGAGTGTGATGGTTAAGATTGTGTGTCAGCTTGGCTGGGCCATGATTCTCAGTGTTTATATGTGATCACCCCCATGGTGGGATCTGCTGTGAGTAGCCAATCAGTTGAAAGGGAGTTTCCTTTGGTGTGTGGCCTGCATTTGAATATAAGTGGATGTTCTGGCTTTTGCCTGCTCTGGATCCTCTGGAGAAAGATGTGGCAGTCTGCTTCCGTAAAGATTTACAGCCTTGGAAACCCTATGGGGCAGTCCTACTCTGTCCTATAGGGTAGCTATGAGTAGGAGTTGACGCAACGGCAATGACTTTGGTTTTTGGTTTATATCTTTCGTTCATTATGCAAATATTGAACACCTACTATATGTCAGGAGTCCTTGGGTGGTGCAAATAGATAAGCACTCGACTACTAACCAAAAGGTTGGTAGTTTGAACCCGCCCAGAGATGCCTTGGAAGAAAGGCCTGGCAATCTGCTTCCAAAAGGTCATAGCCTTGAAAACCCTATGGAGCGCAATTCTACTCTGACACACATGGGGGCGCCATAGGTTGGAATCAACTCAATGGCAACTGGTTGTTTTTTTTGGTTTTATTATACGTTAGACACTGTCTTAGTCATCTAGTGCTGCTATAACAAATACCACAAGTGGATGGTTTTAACAAAGAGAATTTTATTTCTTTACAGTCAAAGTAGGCTAAAAGTCCAAATTCAGGGTGTCAGCTCCAGGGGAAGGCTTTTTCCTCTCTGTTGGCCTTCTTCTCTTCGGTGTTCCCCCAGACTAGGAGCTTCTCTGCGCTGGGACCCCAGTCCAAAGGACGTGCTCTGCTCCCGGCACTGCTTTCTTGATGGTACGAGGTCCCCCTGTCTTTCTGCTCACTTCTCTCTTTTATATCTCAAGACATTGCCTCAGGTACAATCCACTCTTGTAGACTGAGTCCTGCTTTACTAACACAACTGCCACCCATCCTCCCTCATTAACATCATAGAGGCAGGATTTACAACATATAGGAAAATCACACAATACCAGGAATCATGGCCCGGCCAAACTGATAACACACATTTTTGGGGGGACATAATTCAAGCCATGACAAACACTATTCTAAGCACTTGGGATACGTCAGTGAACAAAAGACGCCAAGATTCCTACCCACATGCTGCTTATATTCTAGCTAGGTGAGACAGACAATATATACAATAAGAAAGCAATTTCTACAGTAAGTTAGAAGGTAAACGCTGTGGAATAATAGAAGTAGAGCAGAGTAAGGAGATTCGTAGGGCGGGGTGGGGAAATAGGGTGCAGTGTGTTAAAAGCAGTCGGGGGAGCCCCTGATGGGAAATTGAGATTTAAGCCAAGGCTTGAAAGAGCTAGACAAGTGAATACCGGGGAGGTGACTGTTTGCAGCAGAGGACACAGCGAAGGTGAATGCAAATCCCGCAAGAGCGTGACTAATGTGCATGGGTGAGCCCGAGCCAGAGTTCCTAGGAAGGAGGCAGCAAGGGGGAGACTAGAGGAAAGATGGGGGGCACAGGAGACGAGGCCAGACCATATGGAGCTTTGTAGGTCCCTGGGTGATGCAAAAGGATCTCTGGTGGCACCGTGGTTAAAGCAGTCGGCTGCTAACTGAAAGGTTGGTAGTTCGAACCCACCAGCCACTCTGCAGGTGATAGATGTGTCAGTCTGCCCTCTGGGGCAGGTCTGCCCTGTCCTACAGCGCTGCTATGAGTCAGAAAAGACTTGACGGCAGTGGGTTTGGTTTTGGGTTGGGTGGTGCAAGCCGTTAATGCACCTGGCTGCTAACCAAAAGGTTGGAGGTTCGAGTCCACCCAGAGGCACTGCAGAGGAAAGTCCTGGCAATCAAATTCCAAAAAATCAGCCATTGAAAACTCTGTGGAGCACAGTTCTACTCTGACACACATAGGGTCTCCATGAGTTGGAGACAACTCCATGGCAACTGGCTCAGGCCTCTGAAGGGACTTCCCAGACCACAGCCCTGTCTGGAGGGTTCTTGGCAGAGGCGGGGCACAATGGGTGTTCGTTTGGAAAGCACCACCCTGTGGCTGCCCTGATGGGAGGGAAGATCTAAAGTGCAGAACCCTCAGCTCCGTGGGGCGTGTATGGACTGGGGACAGCCCTGGGTCCCAGCGGCCCGCCCTTCTTGTTTCTAAATTCAGGGCCTTCCAAAGCGCGCTGTGGGACGACTGCAATCTGCTATGATCTGATAGCACAGCACTGAGCACTCGCAGTCGGGGACTCAGAGGTGGGTCTCAAGGTGGGGTCTCAGAGCTGGTCTCGGAGCTGGGGTCTCGGAACTGGTCTCGGAGCTGGGTCTCAAGGTGGGGTCTCGGAGCTGGTCTCAAGGTGGGGTCTCGGAGCTGGTCTCGGAGCTGGGGTCTCGGAGCTGGGTCTCAGAGCTGGGTCTTGGAACTGGGGGTCTCGGAGGTGGGTGGGTACCAAACGTCCAAGTAAGAGCAGCTGGGGAGCCAGGAAAACACGCATCATTTACCAGAGAATTTACCTAAGATGGAAGAATTATTTTAAGTTTGTGGCTCTTTTTCTTAACAAAAAGTGTAAGTACTTCCTTCCCCTGCCCCTTTTGAAAACAATTTATGATTTGACGGATACAGCCCCACAGATGCAGACCACCAGGACCATACCTGCGGTCAAACAAAGTTAAATTTATTAGCTTGCTGCCGCAGGGGACGCCAGACAGGGGAGGGACTGTGGGCATCTTGACAGGGAGGGGTGTCTGGCAGGGTTTCAGCTGCTGGGAGATTGTGAGGAGGGGCGGGGGAGAGGAGACCAGCTCCTGGTTGCTGCAGTCAGGAGATGTGGTGGTTTAGGAGTGGGGTGTCCCAGCAACTTTGTGCTAGAGGCGGGAGGAAGAAAAGAAGGTAGGGGTGTGGAAGTCATTAGTGAAAAGAGGATGGTTACCCCAGAGAAGGGGATTGCTTGTCATTTTGCAACTGCCGTGTGGCCTTGAGAGAAACATTGTTTTCCGTGGACTTTGCCGCTGTCCTTATTTGTATCTGTTAGGTAGGTACATTGCCGTCTGATTATCAATGGGGCTGCCTTTGACTTTCTCAAGGCAGAGGGACTAAAGTAAAGTTGATTGTAAGGACTTATGAGAAGCTGCCCATGTAAGATCACAATTTCACATGCAGCATTGGAGTGGATGGGGAGCATCAGTGGAGAAACAGGATTAAATACATTTTGATTTTCATAGTTTTAGAAATAGCTCTCAGAAGCTAGGATATTCCAGACACCTTCAGTTATAACCTATTAAGTACTAACTGCAGTGTGAAGCCCAGCGCTAAGGGTTTTACATGGACTCTCATTTATTCCTCACAACCCCTAACGTAGGTACTATTATTATCCCCATTTTATAGATGGAGAAAAGCAAGCACTGAGAGGTAAGGTAACTTGCTCAAAGACACAACTAGAGAGGAGAGAAGTGGGAAGTTGAAAGGAGACAAGCTGACTCCAGGGCCTTTGCTTAAACCCGTTGCCTCCAGTCGATTCCGACTCATAGAGACCCTATAGGACAGAGTAGAACTGCCCCATAGCGTTTCTAATGCGGTAAATCTTTACAAAGCAGACTGCACATCCTTCTTCTGCAGAGCAGCTGGTGGGTTCGAATTAGCAGCGAGCACTTAACCACTGTGTCGCCAGGGCTTCACGACCTTTGCTTAGCCACATGCTATTCTCTTGGGCTCATTGGGGTTAAGCTTTTGGCCAAGGTCACCGCTGGTAGGAAGACTAAGAAGTAACATTTATTAACGGTATACTATGTACCCGCACTGAGCTCGGTGATTTCCAAGCCTACCATGGAATCCTCTCAGCAGACCTAAGAGGTAAGGTCTACTATCATCCTCAGTGGAGAGATGAGGAAACTGAGACTTAGGGAGAACAAGTATCTTGCCCACGTGGATACTTGGACTTCACACCTGGATAAAGGCCCCGCCCTGGCCCCGCCCCTTCAACGGACTCTCTCCGCCACCAATCAGAGGGCGCTGGGGGCAGGCCGCGCCGCTCGGGCCCCGCCCCGCCGTCCGAGGGACGGGAGGCACGCAGACCCGACGCGCGCCGTCGGGGCGAACAGCCGCCGTAGGCCCCGCCCCCTCCCCTCCCCGGGGCCGGGCCGGAACTATGTGACCCCGGAAGTTCCGGTGCCATTGCTGTGTGGGATAAACAGTAATGGCGGAGGCTGCAGCTCCCGGAACAACAGCCACACCATCAGCAGCAGGAGCGGCAGCGGCGGCGGTGGCAGCGGCCTCCCCCACCCCTATCCCCACCGTCACCTCGCCGGCCCCGGGGGCGGGGGGCGGGGGAGGCGGCAGAGACGGCAGTAGCGGCGGC